GTAGCAATAACATAAGGTAACAGTCACAAAAGGTAACAGTCACAAAAGGTAACAGTCACAAAAGGTAACAGTAACAAAAGGTATCAGTAACAAAAGGTAACAGGAACAAAAGGTAACAGGAACAAAAGGTAACAGGAACAAAAGGTAACAGGAACAAAAGGTAGCATTATAAGAGGCAGTTCAAAGCCTGGGTGCTAACATTCTGGAATTCAAGCCAGAAGCAATGCTTTGAGGGATCTCTCCCTACATACAGGCCTTTCACCTTCTTGATTAGAATTACCAAGATATTTTATATTATTTGTAGCTATTGTGAAGGATGTAGTTTCCCTGATTTCTTCCTTAGCCCATTTATCATTTGTATATAGGAGGGATACTGATTTTTTTTGAGTTAATTTTGTATCTAGACACTTTGCTAAAGGAGTTTATCAGCTGTAGAAGCTTCCTGGTAGAATTTTTGGGGTTGCTTATGGAGACTATCATATCATCTGCCAATAGTGATATTTTCACTTTACAATTTGTATCCCATTGATCTACTCTAGTTGTCTTATTGCTCTAGTAAAAACTTTGAGTACTATATATTGAATAGATATGGAGAGAGTGGACAGCCTTGTCTTGTTCCTGATTTTGGTGAAATTGCTTAGAGTTTCTCTCTATTTTGATGTTGGTTTGCTGTAAACTGCCTTTATTATGTTTAGGTATCTCTAATATCCCTTTGATCCCTGATATCTCCAAGACTTTTATCATGACGTAGTGTTGGATTTTGTCAAGGGCTTTTTCAGAATCTAATAAGGACTTTTTCAGAATCTAATGAGATGATCATGTGGGTTTTTTTTCCCTTTTAGTCTGTTTATATGGTGGATTACACTAACAGATTTTTATATGTTGAACCATCCCTGCATCACTGGGATGAAGCTTACTTGATCATGGTGGATAATCTTCTTGATGTATTCTTGGATTTGGTTTGTGAGTATTTTATTGAGTATCTTTGCATCAATGTTCATGAGGGAAATTGGTCTGTAATTCTTTCTTTGTTGCATCTTTGTGTAGTTTAGGCATCAGGGTTATTGTGGCCTCATAAAATGAATTTGGCAATGTTCCTTATGCTTCTGTTTTGTGGAATAATTTGAGTAGTATTGGTATCAGCTCTTCTTTCAAAGTCTGGTACAATTCTGCTCTAAAACTATCTGGCCCTAGGATTATTTTGGTTGAGAGACTTTTAATGACTACTTCTATTTCCTAAGGGGTTATAGGTCTATTTAAGTTGTTTATCTGATCTTGATTTAACTTTGGTAAGTGGTATTTATTGAGAAAATTATCTGTTTCTTTTAGAATTTCCAATTTTATGGAGTACCGGTTTTTGAAGTATGACTTAATGATTCTTTGGATTTCCTTAGTGTCTGTTGTTATGTCTCCTTTTCATTTCTGATTTTGTTAATTTGGATATTCTCTCTCTGCCCTTTAGTTGTTTGGATAAGGGGTTGTCTATCTTGTTGATTTTCTGAAAGAACCAACTCTTTATTTAATTGATTCTTTGTATTGTTCTCTTTGTTTCTATTTTATTGATTTCAGCCCTGAGTTGGATTATTTCTTGGCATCTACTCCTGTTGGGTGTCCCTGCTTCTTTTTGTTCTAGAGCTCTCATGTGTGCTGTTAAGCTGCTCGGGTGAGATCTCTTTAATTTCTTTATGAAGGCACTTAGTGCTATGAATTTTCCTCTTAGCACCACTTTCATTGTGTTTCATAAATTTGGGTATGCTATGCATTTATTTTCATTGAATTCTAGAAGTCTTTAATTTCTTTCTTTCTTCCTTGACCCAGTGGTGATTCAGTAGAGAGTTGTTTGGTTCCCATGAATTTGTAGGCCTTCTGTTGTTGTTGAAATCCAGCCTTAATCCATAGTGGTTTGATAAGATACAGGGGGTTAGTTCAGCTTTCTTGTATCTGTTGAGACTTGCTTTGTTTCAGAGTATGTGGTCAGTTTTGGAGAGGGTTCCAGGTGGTGCTGAGAAGAAGCTATCGTCTTTTGTGTTTGGGTGAAATGTTCTGTAGATACCTGTTAGGTCAATTTGATTCATAATGTCTGTTAGTTGTGTCTGGATGGTCTGTCAATTATTGAGAGTCAGGTGTTGAAGTTTCCCATTATTAATGTGTGGGGTTTGATGTGTCATTTAAGGTTTAGTAATGTTTCTTTTACAAATGCCCTTACATTTGGGGTGTAGATGATCAGTATTGAGACTTCATCTTGGTGGATTTCCCTTTAATGAGTATGAAGTTTTCTTCCCCATCTGTTTTGATTAATTTTTGTAGGAAGTCTATTTTGTTAGCTATTAGGATGGCTACACCAGCTTACTTCTTGGGTCCATTTGCTTGGAAAATCTTTTTCCAACCCTTTACTCTGAGGTAATATCTGTCTTTGAGGTTGAGATGTGTTTCTTGTATGCAGCAGAGGGATGGATCCTGTTTTTGTGTCCATTCTGTCAGCCTGTGTCTTTTTATTAGGGAATTGAGTCCATTGATATTGAGAGATATTAATGACCAATGATTGTTAATTCCTGTTATTTTGATGTTGTGGTTGTTGTTGGTAGTATGTGTGTATGTGTGTGCGCGCATGCTCATGTGATTCCTTTTTTTTCTTGCTGGTGTGAAATTATTCATTCCTTGTGTTTTCTTGGGTGTAACTAACCTCCTTGGGATTGAGTTTTCCTTCTAGTATCTTCTGTAGGGCTGGATTTGTGGTAGATATTGTTTAAATTTGGTTTTGTCATGGAATATCTTGTTTTCTCTATCTATGGTGATTGAAAGTTTTGCTGGAAATAGTAGTCCAGGCTGGTGTCTGTGGTCTCTTACAGTCCGCAAGATGTCAGTCCAGGCCCTTCTGTGTTTTAGAGTCTTTGTTGAGAAGTTGGGTATAATTCCAAAAGGTCTACCTTTATATGATACTTGGACTTTTCCCCTTGCAACTTTTAACATTCTTTCTTTGTTCTGAACATTTAGAATTTTGATTATTTTGTGGTATGGAGGCTTTCCTTTCTGGTCCAATCTATTTGGTGTTCTGTAAGCTTCACATTTATAGGCATCTCTTTCTTTAGGTTAGGGAAAATTTCTTGTATGATTTTGTTGAAAATATTTTCCAGGCCTTTGAGCTGGGAATCTTCTTCTTCTTCTTCTTCTTCTTCTTCTTCTTCTTCTTCTTCTTCTTCTTCTTCTTCTTCTTCTTCTTCTTCTTCTATTCCTGTTATTCTTAGGTTGAGTTTTTTCATAGTGTCCCAGATTTTCTGGATGTTTTGTGTTAGGGATTTTTTAGATTTAACTTTTCCTTTGACCCATATATCAATTTCTTCTGTCATATCTTCTACACCTGAGATTCTCTCTTCCATCTCTTGTATTCTGTTAGTGATGCTTGCATCTATAGTTCTTGTTTGCTTACCTACATTTCCCATCTCCAGGATTCCCTCTGTTTGTGTTTTCTTTATTGCTTCTATTTTCATTTTCAGGTCTGTAACAGTTTTATTCATTTCTTTCACCTGTTTGTTTGTGTTTTCCCGGATTTCTTTAAGGGCTTTATTCATATTGCCCTGGATGTTGTCAATTGTGTTCTTACACTAGTCATCTGAGTTTGGGTTTATTACAGATTTAGATGATGATTTCTGAGTTTATCTTTGTTAGATGGACATTTTTCCCCTTTGGTTTCTATTTCTTCTATGGTCTTCTGGACTGAGTGGCCTTGGGTTCTGGTGACCAGCAAAACTTCTGGTCCAGCAGGGTATCTTCACTAGGGTTTTGTGGCCTGTGTGACCTCTGGTGTTTTGGGTGCCAACATTGCCTCTGGTTTTCTGGTACCTGTGTGGCCTCCAGTAAGGCAGAAGTCTTCTGTCAAAATTGAAGGCTGGGATATGGAGCCCAGGAAATGGGGTGCAGTTGGGGCTGTTGGGTGTGTTTTAAGGAGGTGGTAGTGTCTGACCTGGGGTTCCTAGCTCTGTGTGGCCTCTGGTAAGCTGAAGCCCTCTGCCAGAATTGTGTAATATTTTGGCCAAATCTTTATGGGAAGGCTACAGCAGGACCTATGTATATATGTGTAACTGTGTGTGTGTGTGTGTGTGTGTGTGTGTGTGTGTGTGTGTGTGTACTGGATTTCTCCTCTTGGCTTGCTCAGTTTTGTTTCTCACATACTCTATGACCACATCAATCATCAATCAAGAAAATGCCCCAAGGACTTGCCTACAGGCCAGTCCTATGGAAGCATCTGTAGCTGAAGTTATCCTGTTCTTGCCTGGCTCCCGCAGCCCTCAGGCCCAAGCAAGTAAACACACAGAGACTTACATTGCTTACAAACTGTATGGCCACAGCAGGCTTCTTGTTAACTAGTTCTTATATATTAAATTCACCCATTTCTATTAGTCTATACCTTGCCACGTGGCTCGTGGATTACCAGTAACTTACTTCTTGCTTGTCATGGCTGCAGCTGGCAGGATCTCTCTGACTCAGCCTTCCACTTCCCAGAATTCTCCTCTCTGTTTTTCCCGCCTATACTTCCTGCCTGGCTACTCGTAAATCAGTGTTTTATTTATTAACCAATCAGAGCAACACATTTAACATACAGAACATCCCATAGCAAGTGTCTTCTCAGTAAATATTCCTTCCTCCCAGATGACACTACTTGGGGTTCAGTTGACAGAAAGGCTTGTCAGCACAGTGTAGCTCTTGTCCTCTTGAGCTGTCAGAAGCTGTGACTCCCCAAAGGAGACCTGCACAAGACTGGGCCGTTAGTAGAGAAGAGCTAGAAAGCCCTGCCCTTCCAAGGATTCTCTCTCTCTCTCTCTCTCTCTCTCTCTCTCTCTCTCTCTCTCTCTCTGTGTGTGTGTGTGTGTGTGTGTGTGTGTGTGTGTGCAAGACAGGTACATTGTCACCACACCTCCCAGGTCTGTGTTTAGAGAAGACAGAGGCTGACCAAATGGGTGTAGTGTGTGAAATCCCTCACATGACTTGTTCTTTTCTTGTAGATTGGCGCAAGGAACACTTCCAGGCCTGTGAGTGACTCTGTCTTCCTTAGGGACGCTCCTCCTGGTCTTCCCATGGCTCTGGTCCCTCCTTCAGTCCCCTGTGGTGATCCAGGTGGTGACAGCTTCAGTGGTGGTGGTGTGGGAGGCAGAGGGACAGCCACTAAGCTGGGTCTGGATCTCAAGGACCCTCTGATCTTGTAAGCCCTGGTCAGCCTTCTGTTCCCTTCCCCTGCTGCAAGCCATGGGTTTGAGCCACAGGCTCTTCTGTGAGGGACTTGTCCCCCTAGAAGAAGCTAGGAGGCTTTGAGGTGGAGGTGGCACAGCTGTGGCCTTGTTTGCAGGCTAGAGAGGACCTCTTATGATTGTAAACTCTCCCCACAGGGTCTGTCACTCTGGATCCAGACTCTGCCCATGCCAACCTTGCCATCTCTCAGGACAGGATGAGTGTGACCAAGAAGGATACTGATATGCACTTGGATGGCCCCTTCAGTGTGTTGGGCACTGAAGGCATCTCCTCTGGAAGACATTACTGGGAGGTGAAGATAAAGAATGGATATAGCAGCAAGTGGACTCTGGGCGTCTGGAGGGAAGATGTGGAGAAGCAAGGCTGGTACTCAGAGTGTCCAAAAAGGGGGTTTTGGACTGTGGGACGAACTAGTAGTGGCTACTGGGCCTATATAGACAGTGGGAGGGCTTCATTGTCCCTTAGACAAGTTCCCCAGAGTGTGGGGGTGTTTGTGGACTATAGTGAAGGCGACATTTCCTTCTACAACATGAGTGACATGTCCCACATTTTCTCCTTCCATGAAGCTTCCTTCTCTGGGACTCTTTTTCCATACTTCAGGCTTGAATCTGGAGATGTTTCAATGATTCTCAGCTCTGAGGAGTTCCCTGTGCCCATTAGCATTTTGCCTTCTCTGAAGGAGTCTCTGTGTTCCCAAAGGGAGGGACTCACCCTAGGCTCTAGAGTTGTTGACTCTCTCCCAGAGGAAGAATCCCAATTCCTCCCTCTTCCCAGTGACACTTTACCCCCATAGTGCAGATCACTGTCTCTATGTTGTCAGTGTGAGTCCTTGTGGGTCTGTAGAAGCCACAGGCTAAGCTCCCAGGATGAGTCCTGGAAGGGCTGGAGCTGTGACCCACTGCTCTCAAGTGTGACTCTGAGGCTGTCACTGTGGGAACAGGGAGTCCATGCTTTGTGTCCAGGCAGTAGACTATTGTTCCAGCTGTTTGAACTATGGGAAGGCATGTTCCTTTTGGTGTTAAATAGCATTTTCTTGGGTTTCATACCATTTGGCATGAATTGGACCAAGGGCTGAATGGACATTGTTTTAATTTGTTCATCTGGCCATGGGCACCTAGGGCCTGCTCTGTGTGTTGGGTCTTGTGACCAGTGGCTACAGTGAATATGATGGAGCAGATGTCTCTGACATTTGTATTCCTGTCCTGTGGATTTGTTCTTAGTAGTGGGAATACTAGATTATAGATAGTTTGTAGCATGAATCTTAACAGTTCTTACTAATAAGATCAAACCCGGGGCCAGTTATTGGGGTGAACACTGGAAGATAAGAGAGACAGAACGAGCCCCAGCCAACCTCACCTGGCCAACTTCTCAGCTGGTCCTATTTTCTCAGACTGGAAGCTTCTGTGTCCTCATCCCAATGGCTCTCAGCTGAACTGCTACCCAAAAGCCTAAAAGCCCAAATGCTTCTAGTTTCTGGTCCTCATGCCTTATATACCTTTCTGCTTTCTACCATCACTCCCTGGGATTAAAGGCTGGCTTTCTGGGATTAAAGGCGGGATGAGTCTCCATGCTTGTCTGTATCCTTGAACACATGGATTTCTGCCTCTGGAATGCTAGGATTAAAGGCGTGTGCCACCACTGCCTATCCTTTATGTTTAATATTGTGGCTGCTCTGTCTCTGACCCCAGATAAGTTTATTAGCATGCACAATATTTGGGGGAATACAATACCACAATAGTTCTTTCAGTGACCCTTCTCTATGGACAATAACCTGTTTATTGAGTCTCCATGAACCAGCCTTATCTTTATATCAGTCTGTCAACAATTTCTTACATAAATTCTTTCATTTCTAGATTTGAGTTTCTGTCTCTCTCTCACACACAAATATACATACAGCTATGACAATATTTTCTAAAAATTGGCTTTATATATTTTAACTTTATTGTTCTATCTATCTATCTATCTATCTATCTATCTATCTATCTATCTATCTATCTATCTATCTATCTATCTATCTAACTAACTAACTATCTTTTAAAACAGGATCTCATGTAACCCAGGCTGGCTTGGAACTCTCTTTGTAGTCAAGTGTGGTGTTTTGAATGAGAATATTCCCTATAGTCCCATAGGTTTATATACTTGGTCTGCAGTTGGTTGCAGTATTGGTAGGTTTCAGATGTGTAGCCTTGAAGTGTGTCACTGGGGTCAGCTTTGAAGATTCAAAACCATGCATCTTTCTCAGCTTGCTCTCTCTGCTTCCTGTGTATGGTTCAAGACATAAGCCCTCAATTTCTCTCTCTAGCCACTGTGTAGTAAGTCTTTTTTTGGGATTGTCCACTCCCCAATAATCACATGGAAACTGTGATTATTGTGTGACAAATTTTCCCACTGTATAAAAGGATTATACCATTACACCACTGTGCTTATGCCCTGTCACCACAGACTATTGTCCCTCTGGAGAACTTGTGACAGAACAAGATGGTGCAGAGATTCCTCCATCTGGTATTCTTGCTGAGAACATTTCAAATTTGACTAGAATTTGATCTCCTTGATGGAGAATCCCATGGAAAATAACCCAACTGTATAATAGGAACACAAGGTCAAGATGCCCCAGCTAGCTGATCTTAGCTTTTGTCAAACTGCATGCTTGTGTGAAGTCCCCCCCACCCCCAACTGCTGAGCAAGTTGCCAAGGACTTGATTTTTACATTCAAAAGCACCACACTCTGGACACTTGGGGCTTCATCTGGGTCCCTGAGAACCTGAGTGTAGTCCCATCCTGGTCCCTGAGTACCTGAGTGTAGTCCCATCCTGGTTCCTGAGTACCCGAGTGTAGTCCCATCCTGGTCCCTGAGTACCTGAGTGTAGTCCCATCCTGGTCTCTGAGTACCCAAGTACAGTCCCATCCAGGTCTCTGAGTACCTGGGTGTTGTCCCAGCCAGCTGGGATGAAGACTTTCAGTTGGGTGTGAAGTGTCTGAGTGATCATTTCTGGTGGGCTCCCATTACACAGTAAGCCCAAATAAACTCTTCCTTCTATAGGTTTCCTAATAACTAATATGGAAGTTTGTGCTAGAATTGCAGGGCCTATTTTCTTCCAAATTTAATGAGAGTGTGTGTTCGATAGTTTTTAATGTCAACTTGGCATAAGCTAGAGTCATTTTGAAAGAAGGACAGACCCTCAATTAAGAAAATGCCCCCATATTGACCTGTATGCAAGCCTGAAGGGCATTTTCTTAGTTAATGATTGATGTTGGAGGGCCCAGCCTGTTTTGGGTGGTGCCATCCCTGGACGGTAGCAGGCTTTCTTTTGGGCCACAAACCAGTTCCCAAATCATGAAATGGAGACTTACTATTAGTTATGAGTACTTGGCCTTATTTTATGCTTGTCCATTAGCTCTTACAACTTATATTAATCTTTTTCTCTTCATCTTTATTTTGCTTCAGGGCTTTTTACCTTTCTTTCTTCCTTCCTTCCTTCCTTCCTTCCTTCCTTCCTTCCTTCCTTCCTTCCTTCCTTCCTTCCTTTCTTTCTTTCTTTCTTTCTTTCTTTCTCTCCTACTCTGTGTGTGTGTGTCTGGCTGCTGGCTGCCTGGCTGCCCCAAGGCGTCTCCCTTTCTTCTCCCTCATTCTCCTCTCCCTTCTCCTCTGAGCCTACTTACTTATTCTCTCTGCCCACCAGCCTGGTCTATCCCTCTGCTGCCAAGCTATTGGCCATTCAGCTTTATAGTAGACCAATAAGATAACTTAGACAGGCAAAGTGAAACAAATGCAATGTACCTTTACGTAGTTAAAATAACCCACAACACTGAACTGCTGGTCCCTGGTGCTGTAAGAAAGCAGGCTGAGCAAGCCATGGGAGCAAGCCAGGAAGCAGCCTCCTCCACGGCCTCTGCATCGGTTCTGCCCTGCTTGACTTCCTGCTCTGACTTCCTTTGATGATGGACTGTGATATGGAAGTGTAAATAAATAAAGTCTTTCCTCCTCATGTTGTCTTTGTTTTGGTGTTTTTACCACAGCACAGAAAGCCCTAACTAAGACAGAGTGCATATTGCCTCTTTTTGGGAAATGTGTTGGAGAGTCCAGAATTTAAGTACCAAGAACATAGTTCCATGGTAGAGCACTTGACCCATCCATATGAGGCCCTGGGTCCAATCCTTAGTATTTTAAAACAAAACAAAGAACAACCCAAAGTAGGCAGCATTTATCAAGTTCAAGAATTTCTCTTTAATTACATTTCTAACTTATTAATAGTTGTTTCTTCAAGCAGAATTTGCAAAATTATTTCTTATGAGCCAAATTTAATATGACTGTCGTGTGTGTGTGTGTGTGTGTGTGTGTGTGTGTGTGTGTGTGTGCTATGAACTGATGTGAACATTTATTTGATGTAAAATGTCAAACAGTACTTTGTGCTATGAGAAAAGATGAAATTCAAATTCAATATCCATAAATAAAGTTTTATTGGAACACAGTAGTGTAACTCATTTTTATAATATGTATGTCTGCCTTGGTAACAAGAAGACAGAATTGCGTTGTTGAGATGGAATATAATTTGTTCTGTTACAGAAAATTTTAACTGGCTTTTACAAAGTAACTATTTTATTTAGTAATTCTACTGAGCCTCTTAAAGTAAAAACTGGAGTTGTGGGAAAGTTGGTTTCATGGTTGTGCAGAGTAAGGTATGGACAACATCTGGACTCCAGCGTCTCCTCCTACAGATGCTCAGGCTGACCACACTGTCCACCATCCTCCCCCATTAGTCCTTTTGGGTAGCTGTGAGAGGGTGGGGACTTCAGAGTGAGGGAAGATGAGGGAATAGAGGGCAAGATGGAGGGAGGAGAGGGGTGGGGAATGAGGGTTGGAGAGAGGGAAGAGCTTTGGGGGCATCGTCTGGGGGAAGGATGAGGAGTGGGTGGGGGAGGGTTGGTCAGCATGAGGCTGTATGTGCAGAAGAGGACATGGGAGTGAGGAGAGGCAGAGGGATGGATTGCCAGCAGTGGACAGGGCTGCGACACAGTCCATGATCTCACCCTTAGCTACCTGAGGAGTTCTAATCTTTTGGGGACTGTGACATCTACACTTGGTCTTCAACTTAACTACAACTAGAATTAACTAAAACCCAAGCATCGGGTGCACCTGTGGAGTGTTTTCTTAATCAAATCCCAAAGTGGGAAGACCCACTTTTTTTTTTTTGTTGTTGTTGTTGTTGTTTTTGGTTTTTTTGAGACAGGGTTTCTCTGTGTAGTTTTGGTTCCTGTCCTGGATCTCGCTCTGTAGCCCAGGCTGGCCTCAAACTCACAGAGATCCACCTGGCTCTGCCTCCCGAGTGCTGGGATTAAAGGTGTGTGTGTGTGTGTGCCACCACTGTCCTGGCTTGGGAAGACCCACTTTTAATTTGGATCTTTTAGGGTGGGAAGATCCACCTTTAATCTGGGCCACACCTTCTGCTGCAGCCTATGTACACAGGCTTGCTCTCTTGCCTGCTTGCTCTCACTCTGGTTGGCAGGTCCATTCCTTCACTGGCCTTAGAGCCTACTTCTTCAGGATTCTGGTGCATACTGAGGACCAGCTGAGACACTCAGCCTCGTGGACAGAACAACTACTGGAATTTTGGACTTTCAGTAGGATTCTTGGACTAGCTAGACCACAGCCCATAAACCCCGCCAATCAATCCCCTTTCTCTTTGTATATATTCATCTTCTAGAGAGCCCTGACTAACTCGGGACCTTGATTCAGGCCAGGTCAGGATCATGGCTGAGCTGTTCTGAAGCAGAGTTGGAGATTTAAAAAAAATGTGTTTTAATATAGGCTTTAATCATGAGGGTTAGGAGATAGAGAGGCCTGCAGGGAAAGACACTAAGGCACTCTCAAATGCATGGGCCTGGGCTTCTCCAAGAGAGAAAGTAAGACATACCCAAGCCCACGTGCTGGCTTCTCCAGGGAGCCATGCAAAGTGAGACATGCCTAATTTCTGGCTCCTGAAAGCAGTCAGATATTGTCTCAGTGTTCAGCATTTTGGTTCTCAAGTTACATATCAAAGGTTGCTAACAACCTCCCCCCCACTCCCCACAGGCCCATTCTCTCTCTCTCTCTTTAAAGAGTTACTTGTTTTTTGAGACAGGGCTTCTTTTTGTAACAGTTCTGGCTGTCCTGGAACTCACTCTGTAGCCCAGGCTGGCCTGGAACTCACAGAGATCCGCCTGCTTCTGCCTGCTGAGTGCAGGCAAGATTTATTTTTACGTGTATGAATGTTTTGCCTGTGTGTATGTCTGCTCACCATGAGCATGCAGTTCCCACAGAGGACAGAAGAGGGCATCGGATCCCTCAAAACTGGAGTCTCACACGGTTGGGGGTGCTGGGAATTGAACTCAGGTCGGCAAGAACAACAAGTGCTCTAACCACTGAGCCATCTCCCCGGCTCACACCCTCTCCTTTGGTAAGTGAGATTATAGTGTGGCTCTGAGATTCCCTGGAGGAGAACAGCAGAAGCCAATAGTGTGGACAGGGCTTAGGTATGTGTCCTTTCGTGTAAATGAGGTTTCTGGTGAGAGTCTTGGAAACTGCAGGTTTGTGTTAGGGAACAGAGAAAGGCCATTAGCAGTTGTCAATTGTGCTGGACATCTCGCTCAGGTCGCTGGTGAGAGGACTGATTCAGTGGGATTCCTGGGTTGGGAATGGTGTGAGCTTGAGGAGGAAATGTGGAGCTAGCTATGGTGGAGGAGGGGAATAAGCAGACACCAGTGGAAACAAACTGAGGGAAATCTGTTCATAAAAAGGACCAACCAGAGCAGGAGACTGTGATGTGGGGAGTTCTGAGTGGAACCTGGCAGGAGAACCAGGAAGATTAGGAGCGTGAGCTGGGCCTCTGAGGAAGGGAGAGGGTGAAGGGCGGCTTGGGTAGCTGGAGGGAAGCGAGGGGAGGAAATGACAAGCTGAGGGAGAAATGGGTGTGGAAAGACACTTGGGAAGATGAGGGGAAACTGAGTCGGGAAGGTGGTGAGGGGGAGTTAGGTCCAGGACAGGAAGGAATTGGGTGGAAGGCAGTGAGTTGCAGAATAACCAAGAAGGTAGAGAACTTTGGAAGGAGGCAGCGATGGGAACCTGGGGGAAGGTATTGAGGGGAGAAGAGCAGAAGACAAGGGTAGGCAGCATGTGCGGGAGAACTTGGTGAGGGCAGAAGCTTAGCTGGAGGATGGCACTCAGGAGAAGGACTCAGGGATGTGGCCAGCCGGGGGTGGGTGCTGGTGAGAGTCGCCGGGGTCTGACCCGGCAGTGTGTCTCTCCACAAGCCCCCTGTTCCCCCCGCACCCCAACTCCAGCCTCTTCCGGCTCCAGTCACAGCTGTTTGCTGTAGTGTGTGTGTGTGTGTGTTTGTGTGTGTGTGTGTGTGTGTGTGTGTGTGTGTGTGGTGTGTGTAGGTCAGTTCTCTCCTTTCATCATGTGGGTCCTGGCCCAGGGAGCCATCTTACCAGCCAACTGCTCACTCTCTGAGACAGGACAGGAAGACAGAAATTCAGAGGACATGAGAAAAGGAACGAGCCGCTCACAGCTCTGTGTTGGGTTCTGTCTCCTGCTGAAGGTAAGTACTTACATTTTTTTATTTGGAGTATTATTATTAGTGAGATAGAGTTTCTGCCTCTCTAGTGCTGGGATTAAAAACATGCCATTACACAGGCTCTATTTTTATTTATTTAAAAAAGAGAACCTTTATTTTTATTTCATGAATGGCATTGGATCCCCTGGAACTGGAGTTCCTGACGGCTGTGAGCTCTGTGGGTGCTGAAGGCAAATCTGGGTCCTCTGCACAAGCAGCCAGTGCTCTTAACCTGCGGAGCCTCCTCAGCAGCCCCCAAAGCAAAGAATTTTCACATGAGCAACCAAGCTGCTCTAACGCTAACAAAAGTCTCCCTTTTCCAGAGGTCTCAAAAGTAAGGTTATTGAATGGCTGAATAATCGTGCCTAGGGTCACAGTAGATATCTTAGCCTCTCTGTGTCATCTACGTAGATTAAGAATTAAAAAAAAAAAAAAAAAAAAAAAAAACCCGAAACAATCTGTGTTCCTTTTATTTTCCGGCACGTTTCCCACGTCATTCGTTTGTAGCCCGCCCCTGTGGCGAACTGTCCGTCACTTACCTGCGTGCCACGTCTTCCCGTCTCTTTTGCACAGTCACCAGATTAACCCTGCTTGCAGAGCAGATTTACTCTGTCACTTGTCTCAACCACCCCAGAAGCTTTTCAGCTGTCCAAAGGGGAAAGTGTAAACTCAGGTTTGTTTTTAGAAATGCCTTTTCCACCATCTTTTTCAGAATCCTACCTCAGGTGCCCCGTGAGTCTCAGCTGTACACAAGTGTGCGCCCGGGGCGGGGGTGGGGGTGGGGGGGCATAGCCTCGTGCCTCGTACCCCCTTGCCTTTCTTCTGCTCTTTGGTACCTACATCTCACATCCATTGTTTATCAGTTTGTAGCATGCCATTGCTTTCTCCCCATCAAAGGGACAGATTTTTTTTTTTTCTTTTTTGAGATTTCTGACCCTCTTATTTCTAAACTCTTACCAGATTGTCTATTTAAACTACTTTTGGACATCTTAAAATTGACTCTTAAAAATGATTATGCTTACATTGTCACCGTCTCTGTCATAAACTACTTGGTTGCAGGAACTCTGATTTTTATTTTCTATAATTTTTTATGGCTAATAGAGCATTTGTAGCCATCAAGATCATAAGGTCAACTTGGTAAGCTAGAGATGGAACACTGTCAAAGGAACTTATTAGATATTTAATAAAGATGTTTTATTTCAGAAAACACCATCTTTCTTCACTGGATTAAATATATTGACTTATAAAGCAAAATTTGGAAGACGAAGTTTGTGGCGGGGAAGTCTAATAATGGAAAACCAAATAGCAGAAAACGAAGATGTCTTGAGGATTTTATAACCATGATCCTCTGGGGCGAGGGCTGAGACACAGCTTATGCCCGAGGATCACGGTGGTGGCGCGCCTTCTTCTCCACCTTGGCTCTTCCTTCTCTTCTTCTCTTTCTTGGGTGCATCACCCTGTTCCCCTCCTGGATTTCCGTCTGGTGGTGGTGCCGCGGGTGCTTCTTCCGGGGCCCCTCCTGTGGGTGGTTGTGCTTCAGGACCTGGGGCCGCTGCCTTGGATGACCTTGCTGCAGGAGGTGGAGCATTTGAGGCCATTCTCTGGGGCGGCCACGAGGCAGGAGGCGTAGCAGTCTTCATGTATTGGTACTCGAATTCATGTTCGGTCATTGGGCACTCGCCCTGCCATTCCTGTCTCTTCAGCATGGGGTCGTTGGTCCTCCTCATCTTGGATTCAGGCCTTCTGTAACGTGGTGGTTCACACCACATGGTTTCGGGTGGAAGGCTTGGGTCAAACCTTACTTGAGAGTCTTGTCCTCTTGGGGAGTCTCGCCTCCTTGCCGCTCCCATCTGATCCATCGGAACCCCGCCCTCGCACTGCAGCCCCATCCCTGGCCGGACTCTTCGTTTGATCTCCCTTTTGTGCAGCATCGTGTAGGATTCATTAGGACCTCCAATCATTCTCTTTTTCAGTGAGTCCCTGCATCCTTCTAGAAAGAGTCCGTCGTCGGGTCTTATCATCTGTCCATCCGCACAACCTAGGAACAGAACTGAGCATACAGCAAAAGCGTGTGATTCAGGTATCCAGTAATTCCTCTCCCCCTCCCCCAAGACTGACTTTAAAACCAACAAACTGAGGGTAATTGAAGATTTCCCCCAAAATATAAAATGGTGGAAATTACATAGTATAGTTATTAATATGACCTAGATATTAGATAATGTAGGTATTGATAACTAATAATAAAATACAGATATTATTGATAAAATTCTGGATTCTTTTCAGTAAATTGGAAGGCCAGTGAGAGAAAAGGTAAAATGTAATGGGAAGGAACTTGCTGTTCAGTAGGTTAAGACTAATGAATAGTGAGTGGCAAGGGGATAATGAGCTTGCAGCTTGGGAAGAAATCAGATAAGATTTACTGTGGGAAGAAACGATTATCTTTTAAAATGGAAGAAAACGCAAATGTGCTGTCCCTGTTGATAAAAAGCATATTTCATTATGTAAAAGTAATAATAGTACTAGCTGATAATCATTGCCATTATCACATTCCAAGAACCCACCCTCCATACATTTTTAGATTTATTTTGTGTTAAGTGTGTGTTTCTGGTGAAAGCACACCACGTGTTCAGTGCTCTTGGAAGCCGGAGGAGAGTGCCAGTCCCCGGAACTGGTGTTAGGGACAGCTGTGAGCCCATGGAGCTCCAGGGCCCCAGGTCCTCTGCAAGAGCAGTGAGTGCTCTTAACCATGGAGCTTTTCTCTCCAGCTCAGCCCGGCACCCACTTTTTTGAGCATGGAATGAAATAGTCCCATCTTCACAACAGCCAGACCATCCAGACTCTGTTGTTGTTAGAGTTCTGCAGATGAGGGCGGAATCAGAATGTCTAGGTGTTGCTGATGGAGGAGCTGGGAATTGAGCCTGCTGGTCAGATTTCAGGGTTCAGCTCTAAATATCACTTTAGACGACTTGAAATATATGCTAGCGCATTTGTCAAAATTCCAGGTCCCTTTAATGATGTGGGGGTAAGCCAGCTCTCCTGTGCGTCCATTTTTGTGTTCTTATAAAACTCAGTTTGTTAGCTTTGGGTAAGAATTTTGTGTGGTTTTTTTTTTTGTTTGTTTGTTTCTTTTTTTTTTTTTCCCTCTTTAGTGATTTGGTTCCCTAAATCAAGAAAAAAGAACCATCTAGGCTATCAAAGCAGACCGTGAGGATTCTGGCTGGAGCAGGAAGGCTCAGTGTGGACAGGGGCTCAATGCCTCCTGCCTGTCCAATAAAGTCATTTAGAAGGCAGGAGGGAGGAGGGAGGAGGGAGGAGGGAGAAGAGAGGAGGGACAAGGGAGGAGGGAGGAGGCAGGAGGGAGGAGGGAGCCTCCACTGTCAAAAAGAGAGGAGCTCTAACAGCTATTGGGGTTTGGAATGCGTTTTCCTCACGCTGTGCTGGAGGTGAGTGAGGAGGTGTTCCTTGGCGCTCACTCTCGGAAGGTGGTTGGGGTGCAGGTGTTATGGCCCTTTCCAAGGACTTCACCTCCCCCACAGCAAAGCAGACACTAGAAGTCTTAGGAGATTTTGAATAAGAGGAGAATTTGAGGATCATATGCCTCAATTTTGGGAGTAGAAAAGTCCAGTCCAGAAAGTATGTGAACTATGTCAAATATCTAAGTTGAGAATAGTTGAAGAACTTACCCATAGGAGGCAGCGCTAGAAAAAAACAAAGCACACAAGAGACATTAGTGGAGGTTTTCAAACGCCAGGAGAACCCACTTTCCAACAGCGCTTCTTGTTTTTGTGTTTACATCTGTGAAAGCATGTGCCGTGTGTGTGTGTGTGTGTGTGTGTGTGTGTGTGTGTGTGCTTGCTCTAGGAGGCCAGGCAGAGTTTCAGGCAGCTGGGAGTTGCCTGGTGTGGGTGCTGGGAACTGAACTCAAGCCTTCGAAAAGCAACCAGCCTTGTTCTTGACCTCTGTGTTTTCTTTCCATCCTCTGCCCACAGAGAAGACGACTCTGTCCCGGAGCTAAGGTCCACATCCTCAGGCTAGTGACGCAGTCCCACCTGAATGTATTTCCTGCCTTCCCTTACTCTTCCACTAGTTACTTTAAAATTCTCCTCATCGATTGGTGGTTACAATCATCATGGTGTCTTGACAGACATGGTTTGTCAGTCTGGGAGTATTTGTCATCGTAAGGAAAAACGATCAGTTTGCTGGCCCAGCACAGAGAAAGCAGATCCCGGGATAACAGACTGTAGCAGTGGTTCTCAATCTTCCTAACGCTGCGACCCTTTAACACAATCCCTCATGTTGGGGTGACCCCCAACCGTAAAATTATTTTTGTTGCTACTTCCTAACTGTATTTTTGCTACTGTTATGAATTGTTATGTAATTTTTTCGGGGGGGGGGGGGAAGGACATAGAGAGTTGCCAAAGGGGGTGGTGACCGTAGGCTGAGAATCACTGAACTATGTACTGGCATGTGCTCCACCAGAGTCTTCCACAGTAACTGAATCAGAGACAAGATCGTGCATTTTACTACAAAAGGAAAATAGGCAAGAAGGATCCAAAGCCGAAACAATAAGGAGCCACTTAAGACATAATGACTCTTTCAGACAGAAGGATTTGCAATTCGGGGACAGAAACTCAAGGGTGACAATCACAGAAACAGGAAGGCAAGGGAATGATACAAACTTACTCAATTTCCCCGACTGTGAACTGAAAGAGATAAAGGCAAAGGCATCATCAGCTGATGTTGGGTTTCCTTCCTTCCCAAGCCCTGGGCCCCTGCGTTGATGGAATCCACGCCACTGTTGTCTGTGCTCCGCTGGGTGAGGGGGGGACATTTGGGTTCCTGTGCCTGATGCCTGAGCAGCTCAGCTCTTTGGCATAAAAGGCTGCACCCCCTGTCTTCACGGGCCTTAACCACGTCTCAGTTTTGATTTGAAATGGGAGATCCCTAGGTTCTCCACTGGCTTAACTTCAAGATTGTGTCTCAGAAAATACTGAAGGTGGAGGGATGGGAGAGACACGTGGCCAGGGAAGACAGACAGATAAAATTATTTAAACTTACACTAGCAAACACGGAGGGAAAGGGATGGAAATTTATTTGTGTCTCTGAGCTCAGTGGTTCAGTTCAGAAAGTGCCAGTGTGCTTGGAGGCCACAGACGCTACCCACACCAGAGGAAGCTTGAAAGAGGAGACCTGGACTTACCGGAGCTTATCGGTGTGAACACTTGAAAGGAAAAGAAAATGGATTAGTTTGAAAATAAATTACCTACTAGGTTCCCATTAAGACCCCACTTGTAACACTAGAGGAAGGACTTAGTGAGACAGTCTATCGTCCAAGAATATGCTATGATCTCATAGCCAGTCTGAACCCCTGTGAACGACTTAGGAGCCCACAGCATCTTTATGGCCTGTGGGGTCAGTTATAGGAGTAATGGCCATTTTTTTCCTTCATAAAATGCAAAAAAAAAAAAAAAAAAAAAAAAAGACTCTTAGCCAAGGCAAAGTGAAGTGTCGTGACTTTTAGGAGACTGACAGGTTCCTAACATGAGCCCTTCTCCCATGGTCTCTTCCTTCGTACTCAGGAACATCATCGCTGTGTTCTGTACACTTACAGGGAGCTCATTTGTAACCTAAGCTCATGTCTCTAAACTTTGGTTACAGTTTCTGTTTTTGGCAATCTCTGGGGTTTAATAAGAATTCTAAGGCTGGCTTGGGAAGAGTTGTGGAAGAATATACTCCAGATATTTTAGGATGAGAATATAATTAACAAAGAAAATGATTTTTTAAAAAAAATTTCTAATTAGGTGTGTATGTCTGTGTGTGTGTGTGTGTGTGTGTGTGTGTGTGTGTGTGTGTGTGGCACATATGTGTCATGGTGTGTGTGGAGGTCAGATGAAAGCTTCCTGGAGTCACTGGGCCTTCTAAAAGCTTCCCATCTTTAGGTTTCAGGCATTGAACTTGGGCTGCAGTCTCAGTGGCAAGCTCCTTCATTCATGGGGTCAGCCTGCTCCTTCATTCATGGGGTCAGCCTGCTGGCTGGCTAGTCTCCTCCTTACCTCTCATCATGTCCTTCAAGGTTTCCACTGCTTAGTTCAGTTTATCTTTAATTCAAAACTGTATGAATTGTCTTTAAGATTTCTCTGGGTTTTGTGATAAGCTCGTGTCATGATTGAGGAAAACTCAGTAACCCCACAACTTCCTAAGAACCGTGGGAAATCAGAACCACAGCAGCAGGAATTGATCTTCAGCTGAGCGTGTGCAATAGTTATGAGCAATATCAGTTTCCTCTTTGCTCAGAGGGCATTTAGGGAGGAGTTGAAATACAATCATCCGGTAAAAGTGCTTTTTATGGGGTTAGGGAGGTTAGAGCTGCTAAAAGGTGAGCGAATTCTCGAGACAATGTCACCCAGGCTGGGGTGGTAGCCCCCCTAGTGCCCTAAACAAAATTTGACTTAATGCTAATAGGCAAGGATTTTATCATTTGATTAAAATCCCAATTCTCTCACAGAGTGCTTGCAGTAGCTAATGTCTACCTAGAGAGCATAATGTTGCCCACTGAAGGACTAACGACTCGTGGTGTCAGGAACCCTGCACCACAGTGTGTGAAGTGTTGCTGAGAGCAGAACGACCCCAACTCCCCCGCTAGTGGAGTGGGGGGATTGTCACCTTGACCTGTCACATGAAAAGCTAAGACTACGCTGGGAGAGACAGATGATAGAAAAGTGTAAAAACACATTGCTCAGGAAACAATGGGGAGAAACAGACTCCGAATTCAGCGGCGAAGGATTTCTCTTCAAAATTCTATACTAGGAATTATGCTAAAGGAGGCCCCAGAGAGACATATTCCATATTTAGGATTACTCCATAGAGCATTTTTCTACAACTGGAATTATTAAGACCCTGTACTCAAACGTACATAGCACATGGCTCGTTTGTTTTCTAAAGGGCTAGCCATGTGTGAAAGCAAGATCTCTATCAAAATTGCATCAGCATTAATTATTCCTGAATTCTCTTTGCATTAAGTGAACAGCACCACGCAGGGCCCTAATGTCCATCTTTAGTCCTCGGTCCATTTATTCGCTGCAGGCTAGTCATTGTGCAGATTAGATAGTCAATTCTTCAGTACTTAAGGGGCTCTAGACAACAGAGAGAAAAGGAGTTGGAAAGCATGTATCTAAAATCCTTTACTTCTGGGAAAGGTTCTAAACAATACTGAAATGTAGAAATAGATGAATAATGAACTTACCAAAAGGCAAGAGAGTAACTGGCAGGACAACATGAAACAAAAACATGTTAGCAGAACATTTGAACAAGGTTCCAATCTCTTTCATTTTTCTTTTTCCCAAGAGCTAACCATTGCTAGTGCTTCTGCTGGCGCCAGACCTCCCCGGAAGCAGCTATCTTTGATGGCAGGCTCTAACGGGAGGGGCTGGTCTGATGTGACTGACTGCCCTGGGTAAGGTTCCCTTTCCCATCCAGTAGGACGTTAATGTGGAGCAGTCAGTGAGCGGGCTGCACTTATCTGCCTCCTTTGCCTCCTTCAGTCTGTGTGCCCCATGCTCCTCCCCGCTATCTCCGTATCTGGTGTATCATCATCCTCCATAGCTTTTCTTCTTGAAAGAAGCATGGAAACTTCTGTTTCTTATGGGAAGCTGTTGGCAGGCTGGAGAGATGGCTCAGTGGTTAAGAGCTCTGGCTGCTCTCCAGAGGACCCTTCTCCAGCACCCACACGACAGCTCACAACTGTCTGTAACTCCAATTCCAGGAGATCGAAACCCTCACATAGACATACATGCAGGCAAAACACCAATGCACATAAAATTAAATAATTTTTTTTTTAAAAAAAGGAAAAGCAAAGCTGTTAGCAACTTGTTCTGGGAATTTTTCCCCTCAATCTTTCAGTCGAGTGTTTGTTTACCTTTCTAATAACAGACTGCTCATTAAGAGGACATGCTGGGGCATTCACAAGTAGAAGCATTCCACTGAATAGAGATCGGTTAGGTCAGCATTCTCCCCATTTTGGGATCCCTAATTCTACCAGATTGATGAAAAGAAAATGCACTTACAGATAGGCACTGCTACATGGTCTAAGATCCAAACACAGACAGTTAGTGTGAGCTGTACCGGCAGCAGAAACGATGACAGAAGTCTAAGGATAAGCTCTTCCAGACAAGGATTCTGGGCTGAGGAGAGGCCCTCCCACCCTTCATAACAAGTGGCTGCAGTAGGTTTTTTTCTTACACTGATGTAGTCATTTTGAAAGGGTGAAAAAGAGACAAGCCCTTCCCCTTTGTCACCCAGTTCCAATGGAAAATGAAGTACTGCGGAAGCTGGACAAACTCCATTTCCTGGGCTTTCGCTCTGTTTTGTTACTTTGTCTCTCAGGACTTTTTCTGCTTCCCCTCTCATCTCTTGCCTCTATTATTTGAAAATGTGTTCTTTTTGTGGAAGAGTCAGGAGAGCAAATTCAGGAGATGCTGCCCAGCTCTGACTTCTGTTTGCCAGTTTCATTCCATTTGGCCAAATGAGGCAGAACTTTGTGAATTTCATGCAGAGGCCCAGCAAGCTGGGCCACTCTGGTGCAGGGCTGGGGAGCCTGCCTGGCACCAGCAGGTGACCTGTGATGTCTTACAGAAGTCCCCTGTTACTTTTCATCCCCTCTCTGAGTACTTGTGTGCCATGGCATGCATGTGGGGTAGAGGACATTTTGTAGGAGAGTAATTCTTCCTAAGTATGTAAAAACTTATTTGCTTCTAGCAAGACACTTTACTTGCCAGGAAAATACCACCATGCTGATGTTTCCACTAGTCCACTGTACCCTGTGCTTTAAAAACCAAGAGATTCTGGTACGCGGGAGACCTTGTAATCTACCCTAACATGGAGACAGACAAGGCTGCACTGAGCAGGTGCCATACTTATCAAACAGGACTTTCTTAGAATCGCAGCAGTTGGTAAAGCCAGCTCAGAGAGCACAATGCTCACGGGTCCTCTTCAGGGAGGGTAGAAACACACACTCAAGTTCTAAGAGGTTTCTGTTAGTGGTCAGAAGCAGCTGTGAACTGCTTTCTGCCTTTCAACTTCCTTGGACAGGAAACATGTCAGAAACGTCCAGTTGCAGGAGTGAACTCTTGCAGGGATGAGTCCTTTCCATCTTGGCCCTGCTGTATCTCTCCTGGCTTGCCATATTTCTAATTTTTTTTTTTTTGTAAAAGAGTAACATCTCAGTTGACTTAACTTTGCTAATTCAATTTGATTTCACCATCTCTTACTTTTTTTTCTTTTCTTTTTTTTTTAAACCCCAATTACCCATAAACTCTAACAAGAAAAACAGCAGGTGACATTTTTCTCATAGGTGACAATTTTTGAAAACTGTTCAAAACAGCAGGAGTATGCTCTGGCATCCTGTAATAGGGGGACTTCCAGCAAAGCGTTATGCATTTTAGAAGGAGCCAGCAGAGGCTAACAGGCATGCACTAAGTGAAGGAAGGATGCTGGCTGCATAGAGAGACGAAGGTGCTGACTAGCTGGACGTGGTGACAATATGTCATATACATACAGCAAAGCACACACAGTAGCCCATCAATGTGAACATTATTGTGTCACTGCAAAAAGTTAAAAATAAAATAACCCAGTTAAAAGTATTCAAAAGGACCACATCTGACTCCAAGGTACCTTCAGGAAGCACATTGTCTGACTTGGAATCTGTAGGGTTTTCAGTTTCTAAAATATTTACCAGTGGCTTTAGAGGAAGCTGTTCAATATAAAACAAGAGAGACTGAAGGTCTGAGGTCAGAGAGGCAGCAGGTGCGGGAACTAACCCCAGGATCATCGAGCAGACACAGCACTTACCCGGATCTTGTCTGACTGTGAAAAAGAAACAGATAAATAAATGACCACACCATTTCTAGATGAAGAACACAGCTACTTCTTAAACTATGCAACAAATTCTAGCAGAAGGACTGGGAGAGACTGCTGCATTCTCTTCAGAACCCACCACATTCGCTGGCGGCTCTTAACTGAGGTGCATTTTTGGAGAGAGGGGTGTCTCTGGGAGAGGCCATTGCCTTTCCAGATTCCCCCCTCTCAACTTCCTAGAAATTTGAAAATTCCCAGTTAACATTTTTTACATTTCTATCCTTTTATTATCCCTCTTCCTATTTACCTCTTTGGAAAAATTGTGTTTAACTGTAATATTTTTATTATGGCTTAGTTGTTTTTATGGTTCATCTTAGAGCACACTCTCTTTTTCCTCCATAAGCATAAATCTTTCATGGGGGCAGGGAGGATGGTGGCCATTATTTCTCAGACAGTGAGCTACGGAGACCTAGTATGAGTAACTGTGGTAGGATATGTTAGCTTATAATTCCTCCTGTGTATGTTAGGAGTAAGTAGTGACTTATCTGATACAATGTATATGCACGTTAAGCAGCAAGTTCACTGCTTGGCACAAGGTAAGTACCCAGTGAATAGTTATCATCATAGCACCAAACCAGGTACTAAGCAATTTCAATTATCACTTCCAAATGGCTATGGATAGCTAAGAATGGAGCCAGCTGCTGGGAATAGGAGTAGGGAAACGTGAAACTAGAGAGCAAGGGATTCTGAAAAGCTAATAAACACAGTCAGAAATAGAAATGTTGGGTCTTGGTACATTCGTAGTATTAACATTGGGACTCGTCCACAGGAAGCTAGTGATGACACAATTAAGGAGAACACAGGACTGCTGGGGGATGTCTTTCCGTATGTTGTGAATATATGTTGTTCCCATTGGTTAATAAAAAAGCTGCTTTGGCCTATGGCAAGGCAGCTTAGAGGCAGGTGGGAAATCCAAAGAGACAGACAGGAAAGAGAAAGGCGGAGTCTGGAGAGAGACGCCAGCCTGCCACCCAAGAACAACATGCCAACAGGTTAGTAAGCCACAGAACATGTGGCAAAACATAGATTAATAGAAATAGGTTAATTTAAATTATAAGAGCTAGTTAGCAAGAAGCCTGCCATAGGCCATACAGTTTGTAAACAATATTAAACCTCTGAATGATTATTTTATAAGTGGCTGAGGGACCTCGGAGCCGGAGGAACATGGGACTGTGGGGCTGGGCAAGACCAGAGAAACTTTTGACTACACAGAACTTTCCTATTACAGGTGGTCCAGGTCTTGCTTTAATGAAAAAGGCAAAAAAAAAAAAAAAAAAAATTAGCATAGTTTTTGATTAAATAGAAATATTTGTCCACGTGTGTGACTTCTGCATGAGTCTTGCAAACTGACTAAGCAGGGTTCAGCAGGGTGGCTTTGTCTCAGAAGGAAAGAAGGGTCCGAGGCTGGAGATGAGCTCATGCTACCCCTCCCATCTGAATGTCCCACGTCCCAAGCTGTGTTGAACCTCTGTTCTCAGCTGATGCTCACGTGTGGAGGTCGGTTCCCTCTTTCCACTGTGTGTGTCCTGGGCTGGAACTCACAGCATCAGGATCGGCAGCAAAAGCCTTTATCTGCTGAGCCAGCTTGTTAAATGCGAATGGGGGTTTCCCTGGGCGTGCGCATGTGTTCTTGTTCGTGGGTGGCTAAGCAGCAATGTTATTAGATGTGAGTCTGAACTTATGCTCTCTCAGGCTGCGTGACAGGATTGTTGTGGTTTAGAGACCTCTGTTTCTTGTGAATTATAGGCTCTTTGAGGCAGTGGGTTTGTCAGCACCCTAGAACTGCACCTGTGACTGGAAAGGGCTTCAGTTCTGGAAGTGGGGTGCCTTCAAATCTCACCAGGGACAGAGGAAACCACAGCAGGGTTGTTCTCATCGCTAGTGAATGAGGAGGAATTGCCCCCTCTTCCATCTTAGAAACACGGATGCTTGGGTCACCCGTAGGTGCTCACTTTTCCCCAGACGGGCTCCTTGGGGTGTGATTGCTTTTTTTGCTCTCTTATTGCTTTGAGAAACTAAAATACATTCAAACTAAGTGCCCAGGTGCCGATGGTCACCACCCACAACAGGACATTTGCCACAACTCACTACTGGGTTTGCTTGTTTTGAGAACTAACAGCCTTTGAACACAGATCTCAGGTCAGTCTCTTCACTGGCTCTTCAAGGCAGTCACTCCCATGAGTTAGGTGTGTTTCCACTAATTAAAAAACTGCCTCACTGTTATGTGGAACCTTAAGTGTTGTTTTTTGTTTTAATTTACTTGAGTAATCTTTTAAAAACTTTGTATCTGTAAATATCATTTAATACTGTAGTTTGGGATTTTCTTTAGTCATACAAATGTAGAAACATGTTCAATGCATTTTAAATTTTATTTATTCTTATTATTAACCATTTCATATACCCTTGTGTGTTCTTTCACTTATCTATAAGGTGTTTCTCTGGCATTTACATTCTGAAGTGGAATTCAGGGGTTCTGCATGGATCTAGTTGTTTTGGGGCGGGGATGGGTGGTTAAGGCCTTGTTGTGCAGCTCAGGTTAGACTTAAATTTATATCTTCCAGCATCAGTCTCTCTCTCTCCTCTCTCTCTCTCTCTCTGGTTTACAAGACAGGGTCTCTCCATGTAGCCCTGGCTGGTCTGGGACTCACTATGTACACCAGGCTGGCCTTGAGCTCAGAGACCCATCTTCCTCTTCCTCTCGAATGCTGGCATTAAAGGCGTGCGCCACCACTGCCTGGCTCTGCCTCTGGGCACCCCCGTCTGTTTCTGTGTTTGTCTGTCTATCTTTCTTTCTTGGTCGTTCTTTCTTACATATCTGTCTTCTCTGTCTTCAAACTATCTTTAATATATTCTCTAAGTATTTTTTTTAATTGTATGATCTTTGTTGTATGACAACCCACGAGGAAATGTGTGACCTAGAACACTACTTCTTGGTGTCCCTTCCGTGCTCTGCCATGCACTGTGGCGCCCGCATCCACATCTTCACCTGCAGAAACTGTCGCAGCTTCTTTAACCTTCTCCAGGGAGCTCCCTTGTCCTGTCAAGGTGAGTGATGACTTCCGTTTTGGAAACTGTATCGCCAACTCTTCATCCCAAAGTCATATTCTCTCCGGCTCAGAAAGGTGGTTCTGTAGGGCCCTCGGCCCCTCCCTCCGCTGCTGTCTCTCCACTCACTCCTTCGTGTCTGTCCTTAGATTTTCTTCCGTGTCTGAAACTGACAGTCTTCAGCACAATCCTTAGCTCTCTATCTTTGCGTGCACCTTTGATGATCCAGTTTACTCCAGTCTCATTCTTTCCACGCCTCCTCTTTCTCCCTGTCCTCCTGTTGTTCAGATCATCATCGTCATCATCATCATCATCATCATCATCATCATCGTCGTCGTCGTCGTCATCGTCGTCGTCGTCATCGTCATCATCATTGGTACCTCTCTATGTAGCCCATGTTTGTGTCAACCTTGCTATCCTCCGCTATCCTCCTGCCTCAGTCTCCTGAGTGGTGGGATTATAGGCATGAGCCACTATACTTGACTGGCCCAGTGTTTGCTAATTAACATTAGATTTCTTCCTCACTGGGTTTCTCTCCAAGTCTTCAGATTCAGACATTGAGTTTTCTTTTCACATATACAGTATGTTTCCATAGGAAGAAGATTCTTAGGCCAGAAGAGGGTGTTGGATCCCCTGGATTAGAGTTATGAAAGATTGTGAGCCACCATGTGGGTGCTGGGAAGTGAACTCCGGTCTCTTGCAAGAGCAGTAAGTGCCCTTAACTACTGAGACAATTCTGCAGCCTCCATTACATATTAAAATATCAAAATATAATCTTGAGTGAGGAGATGTCTACTCACTGGATCAGCACCTGCACTTAGGGCAATGCCCGGACAGAGTAGGCCAACACATACTAAATATATATCTTGCAGTGTGTATCATCTATGTCTGCTAAGCATATTAACTCTGACACTTGAGAATAAATAATTTCCTGTCTCAGTCCTCTTCAGATTCATCTAGCTCTGTTGCTCAGAGTTGGGATTTCTTTATAGATTTATTGTCTTTTTTTCTTCTTCCTCTTCCTCCTGTAAACCAGCCCATGTTTGTGCGTAAAGCCAGACAAGACTAAGCCAGCGAAGGGAAGGTGGCATAGTTCCCAGCTGCTTTGGCACACTTCTGTGCCATCACAAACGTCATGTCATGGCTTTTACATTCCTTTTCTGCCTAGCTTCTCGGATGCCTCCACCAAAAAGATTATTATTTACTTGGTTTGGATTCTGGCTTCTCATTTCCAGGGGCAAGACCTGTTTACTTCAAGTGTGTGTTCCTATTCCCAGCTGTGGGTCTGTGTTCCTGTTCCCAGCTGTGGGTCTGAAATGATTCACCTCATTATCAACTTGATTGATGTAGAATCATGCAGGAGACACCCTCTGGGTCTAACTATGAGAGTGCTTCCAGGTAGCTTTTTATTTTTTATTATATGTCAGCGTGTGGGTATGTGCACATGAGTGCAGGTGCTCTTGGAGGCCAGTTGGCATTGGATCCTGTGGATCTGGAGTTGCAGTGGTTATGAGTCACCGGATATGTGTGCTGGGAATCAAACTCTGTGGTCTGCTGCAAGGGTAGTACATACTGTCTTTTAAGTTAAGAGAGGTAGATCTCCAGTCCCACAGAATCTTTAGAAGAGGGAAGACCCATCCTGAATGTAGATGGTACTTCCCACGGGTTGGAGTTTTGGGCTGAATAAAAAGAGGAGAAATTGGGCTGTCACCAGCATTCTTCTCTTGCTTCCTGACTACAGAGGCAATGTGACCAGCTGCTTGGCCTGCCCCGGCATGAGGGACTACCCTTAAATCCTTCCCTAGCATGCCAGACTACCCTTAAATCCTTCCTTCCCCGGCATGCTGGGCTACCATTAAATCCTGAGCTGAAATAAAGCCTTCTTCCTGAAGATGCTTTCTTTCATGACAGCAGGAAAAGGTGATGGACATGGTGACGTGCCTAATCTGGAACATCTGGAGTTTCCAGTTCCATCCTTGGGCCTAAGTTATGATGGTGTGTTCATTGTGCAGTGAGAAGTGGCTGATCTGCCTGTCTGCTGAGGACAGAGGAGGTATATGTGGACGGGAACTTGAGAGAGGCACTAGCGTATCCCAATCCATCCTTCCAGCTCCTTTGTCTTAACACTGAAATCACTAAAATTCTACTAATAAAAACTGCTGGGAGTGTGCTTGGGTGGAATCGGAGTGTTTGCAGCCCACCAGACAGATTCGGGTGCATATCATGGTTAAAAATTAGGACATTTTACCCCAAATGTGGATTAAGTGAGCTGCTTTGTCAACTCTCTGCATTTTTTTTTTTTGGCATGAATAAGTAGG